TTGTTGCCAAGGCTACTTCGAATATATTGAGTAGCCAGCTTTTTTAAGAATTATTGTCTTTATATTGTGTCAGGTCAACATGACTGTCACGAAGGACATTTGCTCATAGTTGCAACGAAGAAAATTATTTACCATAAAATTTTATTGTTTTATTTGCGTCAATTCATGCGATAATTAAATATTTTGTCTCGATGTGAATAAATCTACTAGCTAAAAATATTGCAAGAAAATCCAGAGAGATTATTACACATATCTAACAGAAAACCATTTACTATTTCGCACAACTATATTCGCGTAATTCGCTCGCACCCATCTTAGAGGAGAATTTGAGTATTGGAGATAACTGCTATCGAAACGAAATTCCAAGGAGGCGTGAAATAGTTCCACTAAATATAAAATACCAACCTTATCTCAGTGACCTACTTAGTTACACGTACACGAACGTACTTGAAGCCTTGGGAATTAAATCATTAGAAATAATCGTTATTGCCAAAGGTACCCAAGCAATTAAGATTAAGCAGACGCAGGACACAGGTATCCCAAGAACCCAAAACCTATTACACGTTCTCGTTTAATCGAATGTGACGTAAATAAAATCATTACGTTTAGAGCAAAAAATCAGATTAATTCCTCCTATTTTGTAATGGAATCGTAGTTTTTCTTTTAATACCTACATGGCAGCAGTAGGTGCATTAATAATTCATCCAAATCCCGTTCGAGGTCACAGTGCGGCTGGCAAAAATCGCTTTACGAGTGTGGGAACTCGCGGGAGGCACGGGCGGCGGGTAGCGCGCGGGCGGCGCGACGATGCCGCGTTGATATAACCCGGTACAGGCGGCACCACCGCGCAAACAAATTGGATGCTTAAAATTCAATTTGAAGGTTTCGCGGTCCGCTTCATTCGCTCTCCCCGTTCGTTACAAGCTGGACTCGCTCACATATCCAAATGGAAACGCAATTATTTTCCCGTAACTTGGTATGTTTAAATGTTTATCGCCGCTGGGTACACTGCTTGTTTATATAATGGAAGTTGACTTGTTTACACCGAAATCAATTGAGAGATTAAATCCTAACATGTCTGCGTACTGTGTGTCTAAATGATGTGTCCTTGTGTAAGAGGGCACTTAGTTACAACACCCGTGACACGTGTAGATATCTACTAGAGTTTACATACAAAGTACCTCAAAATGCAAAGCGCCTATATAAAGCAGGTAAGTAAGGTAGAAGCATTCTAATAAAAATAAGTTAATCTAAAATTTAAAATACACCTCACCAGTAGTTGGCGTAACAGTGCTGTGTTGTGATAGAAACTTAAACGACCAAACAGAACTAAATGAGCTCTTAAAATAAAGCAGGATTGTGGTGGGTGCTGGGTGCTATCCCACGAAGAATTTCAACTTGAAATAACTACTAGACCAAGTTTTCCTCCTTCAGATTCACAAAACTTTTTGGAATAAATTCAAGTTTCCTCAAGCTGAAAATTGATGAGTACTTCTATGAATTTAAATATAACCCGGCATAATTTGTATTAGCATAATAGCAATAAATCCATTCTCGTTTCCCAGGAACTCCGTGTCATAAATACCTAAATCTGATTGGTTTCACGACACAACAAAATAAGTAGGTACTATCAGAGCCAGAACAGCTATACAATGGCAAGATACCTACAAACTCATAAGTTGATGTTGCGTCGTCTCAGTGCCGTCTAGAACTTTTCTAATCCTGTATTCTTCGGTAAACTTTTCCAATATTGCGAACATAACAAGCTTACATGTGCGCCTAATCCGACAACATCCAAGCATCCTGAGACTGCATGGAGTTTCCATGAGATTAACTAATTTATTCATATTATCCATGTGAAGCGAGTATGGATATTTTTAATCCGGGGGATAATTTATGTGTTTGAAGAAGCAACAAGTGATGGTGCGCTCGGAATTAATGATCTTTGATTCCCTTCGTCATACATCTCTGGGTGTAGTTGAAATGGATTTAGTCGGTCCGTCGTGAATTAATTCCTATGGGTATGTGTCGAGGCAAATTAGACCGCTGCAATTCCAAACACACCAGCCCGCTTTGTCGCAAAGTAACTCAACGAACAAAATGAATTATCACGCGGCGGCAGCTCGGGAATCAGCACTTTCATTAACTTTCTACCTTGTAGCTCTCCCGGCATTTCCATTTATTTCTACTTCAATTTATTATTAATCCTTGCGGATTGTGTAAAAGCAAGGCAATCGCTTAGCTTAAAATGAAACACTTAATTGTCTAACCCTGGAATTTAGATAGGAATAGGTTTATTCAACTACTAGATTATTTTATTCAACAACATTTAGATCTAGTGAAATAACAAATATTTTTAGTAGTTAAACGTAATTAAATATTTAGATAAAGGTTTATTCTACTACTGGATATTCTTCAATTAAGCTGTATTTTAACTCTATGTATTTTGAACGTCTCATTCTATGTCTACCTTTCTTTTGTTTCTATTTTTTACTTCACAAAGGGAATGAATGTTATTTTAGTTTTGGTAATAGTCTGAAATGTAATTCGTTAGTTTTTACTTTGTGATTTTTACGTTCGTCGTCATTTTCAAAAGGGCATGATAGAAATTAAAAACATTTAAGTTTCAATTCTTTATTCGACACCATATTTTATGCATTCCATTAAACACCAAATTGTAACAAAATGTTGATGTCCAGCATGTACAAATATTTTAATTGGTTTATTTTATCCTACTTGGAAATAACATGAATAAAATTATAACACAACAGTAATAATAATGTATAACAACGTAATTAAGCAATTCCTCTAAGGATGTTAAATTATATTTTGATAATATTTCATTTATTACATCGTGATTTTGATAATAACTTAGTTATCGATGTAACAAACAATTTTTTTCTAAAATTCTTACTATGAGTATTATGCGGGTACTCATAAAAATATTACAAATGCCAAGTTCCATAATCATTATTATAATTACATTTCGCTTTCGAAAAAATCTGACTAGGTCCTTAACACTTTGAATTTGAACTATATATAAAACTCTTTACATGACTTGTGTTGAATCGAATTGGATGAAATCATATATTTTACCCTCCAGAATTGGTTAAAAACTCTTTTCTATCATTTAAAAGGTTTCACAGAAAGATGTGTTTTTTTAAAATAGTTTTCTACCATTTGGCACGTAATAAAATTTTGGCATACATATAACAACATTTAAAAATATATATTAGCGAATAGAAATTAAATTAGGAAACAATCGTACTACGTCTATATCAATTCCAGTTTATCTACATTTAAATTGTTTTTACATTTTATTAGTAATAGAACAATGTTGCACATAAGTAAATAAATTGAGTTTATTATAATAGTTCACATTTTGTCACAATGTGGAAAACGGTGTAAGTGTTTAAATATTTACTCACCATTAATTTAATCATCATCAATTCCTGTGAAGATAAAAATATGGACGAGTACTAGGGATTTGTCTACAGCGGATCGAAATGAGAGGAAAATACCTCGAATTTTTGTCACATATCAGCATTTTTCAACATTATTCCTAAAGATGTATGCTTAAGAAAAAATCTTGAGATTCTTCAATAATTCAGGAGATTTATTTTACGCAGATAACGCACGATTCCTGGTAACAGAGTAATATAAAAGATTTGTTGTTCAAGTACAATGAGGGACTAATTGGGGATTTATTGTATCGACAATTCTGCCATTTGTGTATGTTGTGAGTCTCAAACTATATTACGTTTATGTATAAAACTGGCAATACCAATACTAAATCTGGCCTGTTTCTGGCTGCTGAACGTGGTACTCAATCATTCATTGGGACTTTTTGCAGGATCGAAGAGTAGACTATGTCGTCTATTACCCTGTTTACCTTTTGAGACCTTATTGGGAGCAAGCGTAATGGTTTATTTGGATAATGGTTCTCCGCGTACTCGTCCATTAAGTAATAAGTTTTCAATATTTACTTATCAAAAACTACTCAAAATCAATACACCTCACTTAAAAGTAACTTTACAAAAAATTACAACATATGCGATGTTTTTTAAACAATATTTTCTTTAATAGTAACTTTACCCTACGTACCTGAAACACTTCGTTTGATATAAGTATGTACAGCTAATGTTGGGTTGTTGTTAAGTCTTTTGTCACTAATTTATTGTTATATTCACATTTATTAAATACGTATATATTCACAAGAGCCTACAATTCCTTCATTCTATATCTGACAGTAGAAATAAATTGTAACTGGCATACTATTACCATAAAAGGCAACTTGGATGAATTTATCTCTGTCGGGTAATATCAATAGCACAGAGATAGAGCATAGGACCCGAGCCAAGTTTGACTTTCACAGTTATTCAAACAAGATTCCTTTCACGCCATTATCATATCTTCAATCATTAAGTAAGTAGGCCAAATTGGATGATTTAGGATATCGCAGGCAAAAACCTATAGAACTTTATCTTTTAGCTGAATGCATTTCAAGTAGTTTACCAATTGTCTGTCATTGTCATTCAGCTGAAAAATATTTGTGTAACACCTGGCGTATCTATTCATATCCAGACGTGGAAACGTTCTTCCATTATGAATCACATCACATCGACGTTCACTTTACCCGCTTTTAATATTAGCAATCCTTTGGGAAATAGAGCGGAAAATGAAGACGTGGTTGCGTTTGTTCCGCCACAACACAGTAAGACGGACTAGTCACACGGTTGCGGGTCTATTTAGCGCGCACTTACAACTCATTATTATTAGACACTATTATATTATTATTTACACGTACACGAGAGGAGTACATTCACAGTTCTATGTACACGTTTAGATGACACACATCACAACTTAGTCCGCTTGTTGACTACGACCTCGGCGGCGGCGTCGAGGAACCCTCATACGGATATCTCCTGTATCTGTACCCGCTTCTTCATAATGCCGGGCGGCGCGGGCGCGGCGGGTGCGGGTGGCGCGCGTAGTATGCCGCCCCCCTCCCCCTCCGCTCCCGCGTCGCCCGCGCTCTCTGCGCCATCTGGGCCAAACTTTACCTGTGTGGAATTGTCCACCACACGTGGCTCGAATGTACTAGTGCGGCCAACGGGATCACCCGGCCGACCTTCCACCTTCTGGATGTCAGGCTTTTGAGTATCAATGCACACTACACTCCCAGCCTCTATAGCACTGCCCACACTCACGTCAGGCATGGAACTGCGCGCTGCGCGATGCTTTCGTCATAGCAACTGTACTCGCCAAAAGTGGGCTCACCACAGTCCGACAATGTTCGAAGATCAAATTTGGAGCCCACACCTCTAGGCACGTGCGCCGATTTACACTCAAATCCGAATCCTTTGCCGTCAAACGCCCGAACTTCATAATCGAGTTTTCCATCATAGTTGTCAGAAGAGGAAGAGCTACCTGCTTCTGCTAAATCATCCTTCGAGCGTCGTGGACGGGAACCACGCTGATGGTAGATACCAGCAAAAATAAGGACGTTGAGCAATAGAAGGAAGCAACCAACGGCAATGGTGACAGTCAGTGCCGCTGTGTAGGACTGGTAGTGCGAAGACGCGAGACGACGCAACAGAGCATCATCCGGATGGACAGTTGGTGCTGTGGCGTTGGGTGGACACTCTGTTGACGGTGGTGCTGCGGGGACAGGGCGAGGAGGTGCAGCACGGGGTGGCACAGTACTGCGTGTCCCACCCCGCGCACCTCCCTCTACTCCACCACATGCGGCACATGGGCGCGCGACATTGACTGCGCTCGAACAGCACCTGTATCGAAACAAAGTTAGTTATTTATCCAAATTCTTCAAAACATTATTGAATACGCGTTAAATAACATACCTTCATAGTAATTAGCATTGTCTTCCTGGAAATGATGATGTCGCATGGCAGCGTCAGGAAGTCGGATCCGGGCCGATGCAGCTGCGGGATGAGGGAAAGCCACAGCGACATTTTATGTCCTCGGTAGTGACTGCGCATCTCCGGCTTGCTACCTGTACCCGGGACACGACACAATTGAAAATAAATGAGCCCTAACCGTAACCGCAGCGGTCACGACTTCACGAAGTTGACCCTAAAGTTTTAAATGGCTAACTCAAAATTTCTACTGGCAAATCCAAACGTAATCTATTTATTTATGTTGTTAACAGATGCTGATCTTCGCAACTATTCGGTCTGCGAAACTTTCAAAGCCCCATATATTTTAGTGTATTACTACGACATTGAATAGTATAGCTATTAAGGAAAATCGGAAAGATACATAAACAAGGGATCTTCAACATATAGTAGCTATCGTATAAACTAATCAAGAAGTTTTTCGCAGACAGTAACATAAAATCTTTGAAGCGCTACTTACTGATCTCCATGTAGAGTTGGTTGATAGTGTCGTATGTATCCCAGTATGGTGTTTGATCGGGACCCAGTCGTGGAGTCTCGCCCAGCATTGGGCTTGGAGGAGGGGTGGCCGATGGATCATTAGGATTCCTAAACAAAAGTTTACATAAAATAATGGTATTGATGTAACGATCAAACAAACTGCCAATATAAAGTTTTAAAGTGAGAGTGGCTCATTAAATATTTCACATTGAACAAATTTCGTAATTAAATCCTTACTGAGAATTTCTGTTTCGCAACAAATTCAAAGTAAAGTTAATAATTTGTGAATCAATCGACGACCACAAAACTCTTGCGATACAGAGACAAAATAGTGGTAGATTTGGAATGTTTATTTAGTAATACGTGACTGAACACAACAAATACGAGAAGAGGTTGGTGACTAAATACAGTTTGATCAATATGCGGAGTTAAGCTGCTCACCGCCGATATGGGTGACCGTTCTTTGCATACTGAACCTTCCGTGACCCTATCAACATATTTATAAACGGTCATCTCCATTTTCATGCAAATACTTTCAAGTATCAACTTGTGAAAGAAAATTAACCAAGATTACTAAATTGAAATGATAACTACACTCTAAAGATTAAAAACAAAACAGACTTTCAGTTTCTTGATCTCGTATTCGGAATTGAATTTTAAAACAGTAGACATAAATTATACAATTCCTTACCCATATCGAACGAAATTGGAGATGTAATGGATGCAGAGTTTTGATACACGCTGTTCTTGCTGCGTATAATTCTGCTGATGATGCGTAAGGGAGATGGGTACACCCAGGTAGTACGGGAGCTCCTCTCCATGGACTGAACCAGGTCTCTACGTGGGAACAGGGAAAGGATACTTTTAATTAGGAAAATATTGTAAGTTGTAAGCTGTAAAAAAAACTTGCACAAGATTAGACCCACTTTTAGAAGAGGGCCACAGAGCAGAGACAAAGCCCTAAGTTGAAATTTATACATCACCAAGAAACATAGTACCTACATCCCATCAACGTTATTCTCAAGATAGTGCCACACTACAGCGAAGTTACGTACATAGATTATCCTTTAACAGTTAAAGTTGACCTCAATCTAGACTAACCGCCAGTACGTGTATAGCGCTATTAACAACTCCATTCAAGTGGCCGCTAGGGTTGTCGAAATAACAAACAGGTGTATAGCCAGATATCGTGCAATTCACTGAGTGACCGCACGTGCGTCGACACGTTTCGACAACCGCAGCCCTGTCAACGACTACTATAGCAACTTAGTGCTTGTCATACTGTGGAGTTTCGCAATTTATAGTTTTAAACGCTATGTAACTTTTTGTGAAACCGTTAAAGTTGAATTCAATTCCCGAGTCCAATATTACGTAATGTTATAAAGTTATATGAAACCCCTATTAGTATTTATATTAAGAACTTTATCTCTTCAATGAAATCTTTATTTTATCGTATTTTGATAATTTCTTAAATAAAAATGCGTAGCTATTTCGGTTCCTGTTCTATTCGATGAACTTCAGTCAATAACAAGCGTGTCCAAGTCAAAACAACTCTTATTTGGAATTCAAAAGGGTCTATAGAACTCCAAAAACTAAAACTGTTTTGTTTGTCCATTCAGATTGGTTTACTGAATCTTTTCAAACTGAGTTTATGGCCGACATAAAAGAAGATTAACAACTTTGGAGAAGAAAAGTGCTGTGCCATCATTAAGTTGATAAGCCGTTGCCAAAAACCATGTTGTTGAGTGTGCATGTCTTATACCAACTGCGACAATATCTACATAACGCACTATCATGGAATTTTGTAAAAATGTAATATTGCATAACTCTCTTATATTGCAAATATTTTCAAATATTGCAAAAGTTTGTTTGCCAGCTTTAGTGACAAATTATTTTTCTTAATATGTGACATACTGCCTACGCCGTAGTGATCCTTTAATTACGGAGATAACCGACTAGTTTCGTAAAACTATTCCGCCAACCGGAGCCCTTAGTTGGTCTCGAAAATATTCGGTCCTTCATAGGATACGATGACCTGAGTAAGCTGTACAAGCATTACCAAAATTTATTTATTTGGACGATGTGGTTATTGTAATACCCTCTTCGACCCTTGCTGGAAGCTCTCAGCATTGAGCATGTAATCTAAACGCCCCATAAATAAATTTAAGATCTGATCCAACTTGTCCCTTGTTGGCCTTCCTCAGCGACGCTCTAAGCCGAGATTCGTACCCTACTAGAGGGTCGCAAAGCATTGTCGGTTATTTGAATTATAAGTGCTCAGAAGCCTTAAATGTTTATTTCACATTATATTTGCGCAACTCTATTTTGAGTCGTGTATTAGTGTAATTAAGTTCATTAACTTACACAAGATACCTATTAATTGTTATAACACCTGAAAATCTAACCTTCAAACTCAGGAAACGTTAAACTTACAAAAGGTTGAACTTTCTTAACCACAAGTTATGCTAAAATATCATATCCTTACCTGTGGATAATCCTTGTCTTGGGACAGATGATGAAAATGAGTAAAGTACGTGGTTCCACCTCGAAGTGCGTGAAGGTACCCCAACCTGATTAATGGCGCTGCAGTCCGTCCATCACTTAGTACCTGGGTTACATTGAGAAGAGTTACTCAAAATGTCTATACGTATTTATGTATATAAATCATGATTATTAAAAGGCGGTTCCTTTTAATAATCATGATTTAGTAATACACAAAGTTAGCTTTAAGTACTATCACGAAACGTAACCACGCTACAACTGTCAACGGTTAGAATTGGTGTCAGCTGTATCATAACAATGTTATCGTCTTATTAGGCGTTGCAAGTATTTTGCAATAAAGCCTTTCAACGCGCCCATCGTGTATTCATCGTGCGCGAGCGTCATTAACTCCCTTTGTACGTCGGAAGAGCGTTCGATGAGGAGCGAAAACCACTTGAGGCTTAAATTGAGATCGTCTGCGACGCCGACACCCCGCGCACAGGCCGCGCCATCGTCGCTCCACTAATGTCAACTCAGCCGACAGTTATCAACTTTCAGCAGTTTCACTATCGACGTCGATTATCGTGTTTTGTTCTATATTCAGAACAGAAACAAAACAAAAGCAGGACTATTAGAGAAAATCTTCGCTATTTATATTCAGAGCCTTCTCTATTACTGCTGATCTTAAAGAGCGCGCCAGTGTATCTGCACGGGTGATATTACGACGTTATTTCTATTTGTATTCACAATATTAGAAGCCTTCTCAATTGCGTTCTTAATGATATTTCAAGTATTCTCTTCTGAGAAATAGGCGGAGACACGTGCGTTTAAGTATAACTGTTTAGCAAAATATTCTCCTAATTTTTAATGGTATTGGCCTTATTAAAGAAATATTAGTAAATACGAGATTATTATGTAGAAGTAATGAGGCATAGGTAACCAAGTCACACGTGGATGTCAATGTAGCTTTCATAACATTGACTGTATACATGACATGTCGTGTCAACATGGGATAATACATGGTGTAAACATGAATGTGTGCGACTCACCTCGAGCGTGGCGTCGCGCACGCTGAGCGGGTTCTGCACAGGCTTGTCCCAGTCCGTGTACTCGTTCTTCAAGGTCGAATAGATCTCGTTGAGGTGGTAATAGTACGCGTTCCGGACGAAAGTGCGAAGAATGCGATCCCGTCGGCTCTCGTTGAAGCCAAACTCCAAGTCTTGGGCGTTAAATTCCAGGTAAGATTCTGCAAGAAAGGCATGCCGCTCATTTGCATGTATTTATCATTCACTTCGGGAGCCTCATTCAATTTATTCTGAAGTATGTTAGCGCTATGTGAATTACAACTTCAATACTTGGAACCGCAAGTCTTATAGATGCGTGTATATCTTCATGTTGTCGTTTACTAACACGCCACACATACAGGGTGAATTGAAATAAATAGTCTAATTCATAAATTTAAATGGAGAGTAATTAAGACAGATATTAAGATATACATTATGTTTGTTTATTTGTACACCGAGTGATATCTTTGTACTCGCATGAATACAACTTAAACCTTGACGTAATTAGAAATAAGGTTGCCTATTGCTATTTTAGTTAACATACTATAAATGTACGTCAACATTAATCCTAATACGAGAGCTACATGTGTTTCAACGTTTCACAAACGTTAGCGCAAACTATTGCTGGTTTGTTTGCTCGTGTATTTTGCGGTGTTTCGAATAACGAAACTTTCCAAGTGTTTATTATATGTGGAATGAATTTTTGATCTTGTATTTGTATTTATTATATGTTTTGACTAATCATTTAAAATGGCCAGTAAGACTATTCTTCCCTATGGGGATGAACATTGCAAGCTTCTAATAAACTGAAACGAGTCAAAATAATTTCCTTTAAGGGTCGTTTTATTTCAAAGCCTGATTAATTTTATCGGCAGATTTTGTTTGAAGTTTTGACATTGACAATACTTTCATACTAAAAACTGTCAAATGACAATTTTTATTCCACAGATAAGAAATATATTCTGTTAAGTGAAAAATGGGCCTTAAGTGTTCTAATATAAGAAGAAAAATAAAAGAAAAACAATGTTACCGGTGGTAGTTAGTCCAAACAGTAGCTCTCTATGTGAGAAGTCGGCGAGTTCGTGTCCAGCTGCGTTTGCGACCGCCGCTGCGCCCGCGCCGAGTCTTGAACTATCCGTAGGAGGTGGTGCCTGATAACATGTTCATACTATGTGCTAAAACAAAATCTCTTAAATTATGTACAAATAAAAAAATATATAAGAAGGGTAGAAACCATTTAGGGAGTATGTGTACCTAAATGAAAATGATCCTGAAAATTCTTTTTTATTTTGTCTTCAAAGCATGTATTTTATCATACAACTATTTCTCGAATCATACTTTATAATCACACTTATAAAATTGAATATTAATATGTTCTAAAAATATTTCAAAAATCACTCATGTTAAATGCCAATAATTCTCTAATAGCCACACTATAGTAAATTTAAAATCAACTCTAGTGCTTATATCATAAAATTTATAATTTTACTTGTTTTTCTACTCAGTTTTTATTTCGTACAGTTTTTATTTAAACAACTAAACCAGTCATAGGTAAGCTTCATTAAAACATATTATACCTACGTTTACCAGCATAAGTGGAAGTCAATAAAGTTGTAATAGATAGAAAAAGAGATAAATAAAACTGTTACTTTCAATATAAAAGCTAATTGAAACTATCTATATTGAGCATTTTAATGCTCTTTAATAAGAGTCCAGAATAAACACTTCCATTCAATAAGGGTACTTATTTAATAAAAAATTAGAACGATATTTATTTGCACCGACAGAAATAAACGTAGTTTTATTTTATCTCTACTAATCTAACGGTTCTTTACCATTTTCGAAAAAAACAATGCTATCGATATAAAAACATAGTTGGATGGTGATTTTAAATACTTAGTATGAGACATCAGTAGCTAGGAATGATGACGGGGTATGAAACGTAAAAATCTATTTAGTCCATCAGTTAAATAATGAATAAATATTTGACACGTATTTTTTTATTTTTTTCGTATAAGAAAACTGTACTTAAATAAAACAAAACGAAATCAAAGTTTAGAAGCAAGAGCTAACTACGTTATTATTTTCTACGTATAAAACTAAACTAGACATGACGTCACATAATCTTTCAAATTAATATAATATAGTCGAAAGTATTTGTTTCCGTAAGAAAATAAAAAATACATGTCTAATGTTTTAAAATAATTTACTAGACGGACATTAAAATTAAAATTAGTCATCTACTGTATTCATTGAATTAGACACCAAACAGATAACGACATTGGGAGCTGATATGAGCTGAGGAGATATTTTTTTTTCATATATAGAAATACATATGTGAGGACCATGTCAGACTTAAGATATTTGTTTTCTCTTGGTTTTGTTTTTTATTTCAGTACGTTCTGTTATTTGTATGTTGCGTCAGGTCCGTCTTTACATTTTTCTCACATGTGTGTACAATATTGGAATATGTATCAGAGCAATGTAAAACAGACTTTTTTTTAAAAGAGTTACGAATGGAGTTTCTTGCTCGTTCTTCTCCACTCAAATTGACATTTTGGAACGAGCGCCTAGCTTCACTGACGGACAGACTGACAGACTATTATTTATTTTATATTTGTTGACGTTTCAAAAGTACCAAATTATGGTTTAAATGAAATAAATGCTTTTGAGTTTGAGTTTGAGCAAAATGGTGGCAGACATAAAGAATCAAACCAATATATTCGTTCATACAATCAAGGTAATTCCCCAGGTACCCACTTCGATTTAATTGACGAAATTATATTGAACCCAAATTGGTATTCGAAGGCCGCCATTTGGGCATCAAATGTTATTCAGGTAGGCCGTTATTGGGCTACAACCTGCAAACTATAGCAATCACTGGAAATTCTAGACGTTTCCATATTCTAATTGGTTTCCAATATCTGGGTATTTGTAATGAAAATCAACACCTTATGTTTACCCAACAGAAATTGCCTTCGTTTTATTTTATTAGTTCTATTAATGTGTATTGATTACACATAAGATAGTAACTTTTTAAATAGTGACGTTTTATACAAAGATTTGCGTTTCTGACGTAATGAGTCATGACTGTTTGACAACGTTCAGTAATTTTTTACACGAAATACAATAAATAGTGGCATATATTATCACACGGACACAATTATATTGATTTTATTTAACGATATTTATAATTAGATAAATATCGTGAGTAGAAAATAAAACAAAAAATATCTCGAAATAAATCATCTGTGTAACCAGACGTCATATTTCCCGTAACGTTTATACACAGGCACAGGTGTGACGTCAATTTATTACCGAAAACATTCTGTTAATTACGTCAAAGGGGTTGTTCGTCCGAGACCAGTACATTAATTAACGATGAATTTGCGAATGAAAAGGAACACAACTGTACGATGAAAGCACGCACAGTTCGTATCATCACCATCGTTATTAACAGCCCATCAAATCTACTGCTGAACTCTTAGCGTCCTCTACAAAGGAAGGGTCTGTCATAATCTCTATGCTTGGCAGGAGGATTGGAGATCGCAGTTTGAAAGGATTAGGTTCAACAGAAAACCCTGCTGCTTAAGTATCCCCTAACTGCCAATTTCAGTAATATACTTAAAATCTATGGATTAAGATCGATTTTTGATAGAAATTCCATACAACAACAAATGTAGGAGACCCATGCTTCGGCAGCAATCGACTGGCCGTGGTATGACTTCGGTCGGTTCAACCGGCGTCATACCACGGCTTCATAAAAAACCGACGTGAAACATGGCTTGCGTTATCGGAAGCCCCATTAAAGACGCTCCCCCTCCCCAATCTTCTCAATCCCTAAATCCCCAACACTCCTCAAATTCCTAATCCCCAACAATCCTCAAATTCCTAATCCCCAAAAGGCCGGTAACACGCTCGTAAAGCCTTTGGTGGTCCGAGTGTCCGTGGGCGCCGCCAATTGCTAACCATCGCTGATCCACCTGATCGTTTACCGGCTTATCCCATAAAAAAAATGAATGTCAAAAATCGATCTTTTTCCACACATTTTGGATTACTAGCTAGCTAGATAGCTAATTGAAATTGACTGTAAGTCGACTCTTAAGACACCCGCAGAAAGAGTAGAGGTGCCAACGAATGTATTTTCCTCAGCCATCACTACATGGCTAATTAGGCGTAAGGAAGCTCAATCAAGGTCGAATTGATGATGATCATTACGTTTGACATAATCATTGGCCGGTCAGACGGACAGTACAGTGTGCATCGTAGTGTATATATTCCAATTATTGTGTTACTGTTGTTTGCTTTCTACATTCATCTGGGTACATATGTATGCCTTCCAATCCCCGACGAAATAGGAAGAGGTTAAACATATTCGAAATGACAACTCACGGAAGGATTAACAATGACGGTGCCATCGACGAATGGCGCAAATCCTGGTAGAAACCTAGGCGGGTCTAGCCTGACTGCTAGTAACTCTGCTAGAGGCTTGTTCCTTAAACACGGCGCCAGGTCGTCTTCTAACAGGTCCCCGTGACAGCCTGTCTGCTCAGCCACCTAGGAATGACATAAAATCATGCTTACATCCCTTTAAAATTTTGTCTTTACTCATGTTTTTTTTTCGCAAATTGGATAAGTTGAATACACAAAAACTTTCCTTGTCCCAATTTAGGGCTCCATTATTTTTTCTAAACATTAACCAGTGCTCAGTTTAACAGGAAGCTCACACCGATATTGTGTAGCGTAAAGATAGATACCTTTCTTTTTATCGTGAGCGGTTCCCTCTGCAGCGCCCATGAACTCAGTCCCGACCCACTTAACAAGATGACGCGCTTCAGTAGTTCTGAAACAGATAACCTAATTTAATTTTGTCATTTTGAACGAGGATCACCCAGATAATGAAATCTTTTCTAAAGAAAAACATTTTTATTTCCGCGTTCGTTTCTCTTATTCTGAAACAATAAAGACTTTTCAGAATAGCTTCGAGTGTAATGTTGACCTTATTTTCAAATTACGCGGAGGAAACTGCCCTCTTGTGCATGTCTGATGTGACCCTTTTAATCGCATTAAGTGACGGAGGATCTAAACGGGATGGTGACACGAAATAATGAAATCTGCCTGGAGCGGTATAATTACGCACAATGCCTGTCCCACGCGTACACTCGCACGTGAGCAGCCCGGTGCGCCCCGCACCCCCAGCCCCAGCCCTCGCGCTCATAGAAACGACCCTTCCTGTTTATGCTGACAGTTCATTAAAAATATTTCCTCATTAATTCAATTTCATAAAATTTTAGGATAATTTAATATTCTGAAAAGTTAAAGTGTATTTCATAATTCATAACGCCCGCAAAACGTGTTCAAGATTACATCAGCCTTGTTCCGAATCGACAATAGCCATTAAAATTTATCCATCGACTACATAATTTAGGTTACCGGCAAGTTTCACAATCAAATCATGTCAACCTTCGTCGAGATAATTGATTAATTGAAGTGTTCATACCCCTTGCGACAGGCGAGACAGCCAGGAAGTTCGCTAGCGCGGCTCCCGTGCCATGCCCCATGAGCGTGACGCGCTCAGGGTCGCCCCCGAATGCCGGCAGGTTCTCCCGCAGCCAGTGGAGCCCTGCTACTAGGTCCATCAGACCGAAGTTACCCTGCGCCGACCCCTTAGCACCAGTCTTTAAAAAACCTGGTAGAAAACGACGAACATTAAACAAAATATAAATACGTGACATTACACAAGACTCTGAAATAAGGCTAAATAAAGTATGAGTATAAATAAACGTACATTTTACACATAAATACACAGTATGAGTACGGCTTGCAGCTGAGAAATAGTGGGTCATAATGCAAAATATTTCACTGTCGCGTGGCGGAACGAGAGCCGGAATACAGTTCGAATTGTCTTCAATAAATTATGACTATAATGTGTTTTTTGCGCACCACATGAACGTGTCTGTATAAGAAGATACACTTGAGTGGATAGCGACACTTATGTAAATACAAAAACTTACACATTTCATACAATCCCCCAGATGTGTCATCGCTATTCAAAGTTTCCTCTCAGGAAAATTGTTCACAAGTGAATCAATATTTTCTATCACATCAATTTCGAGTAGTGACTTCGAAAACAAATATTTGGAATAGTATAGGGCGTGTTTATCGTTCGATATAATTTTGTTAGGACATTGCAAACAGTGGTGAAAACAAAATAGTGTTACTCAATAACATCACGCCGTTTCTCCTGAAGAGCAGGCAAAAGCTTACATTTCACTGTTACATTTTGTTTAATATATATAATTTAATTCCATGTGAGAACGTTATCAAACAAAACATATACTTTGCCAAAGAAAATATTTAGAAAACTTTCATTATAATAATAAGCAAACTTTCTACAACACCTTTGCTAAGTCCCAACCTAATTTTCCACATTATAAGAACGATCAAAGAATAATTTATTCAACATCGTAAAGTTGACTTTTACGCACGGAAATAACATTTACGAACGATTTTTTCTATAAAAATACAGAAATAAGTGAAAAGAAGGAACAATTTCCCGGAAAAACGAAAGTATTTATTGAAACAATAGCCGTCCACTTGTACGGACACCGCGTGGACACCCTATAAACACTCTGTCGGGAACATACGACAATCAGTTCTTATTGAGCGTAATCAATTTCTTACTTCGATTTTTAACGATTGAAAATCGCTTATATGTACGCACTTATGTGAATTAAATGAAAAAAATCATAGTTACTAACTCGTTGATAGACCAAGGGTTCCATCAACCGCCTTCCAATTTGCCATCAAGCCAGATCGATGGTACCAATTATTATAGATACAACTATTAGAAGTACATTATTATGTATACCTAATTAAGGTCCTTAGATTTTATTACATTGGTAGTTATAATATATTATTACAGGTCGACATAACACAAGCATGTTTTCGGTTTCGGTTCGTTAGCTTCGCTAAAACTCTAGATCTTCTGAACCGACTTGATATTTTGGTTTGGAAATATTTGTAAACCTTCAGGAAGGATTAAAAAGTAGAAAAATTAAAATTGCAATGAATTTACTAAAATCGACTATATTTTCCCATACAAAATGTGCCATCACTTTAACATGACATAGAATAAAATATGATATTATTGAACTGTTCGCCAGGGCGATTAGTGCAAAATAAAACAAAACACAAGTCAGTGACGTCAGACACAAAATGATAAAGAGACAAAATATATATTAAGTTCTCTTTCTAAATCCAAATTATTGCCGCCTTTCGAACAATGTAAAAAAACAAATGACATGCCAATGACGTCAGACACAAAATGATAAGGACACAAATATATCAAGTTCTCTTTCTAAATCCAAACTATTGCCGCCTTTCGAACAATTAAAAAAAAAACAAATGACTCGCGTATCGTGTTCTCTAGTAAGTAGGTACATAGATTAGTTGAACGCTTTTCGCATATTAAATCCTTTGAGATGACTGAACGACTATATTAATGTCACGAATTAAATATCGGTTCAATTCCCATGTCAAGTAAAATATCATCATGATCCTCAATTCCACAAATATTAAGTTTGCTGTATTCAATGAAGAAAAAATGTACAATATAAGTTTTACATTAATTGTTTCAGAGCTTTCAATAGTGGTAATTTTATTAAAATTAATTTTGCTTGTTAAATGTGGGTGTACTGTACATCTGAGCCTACGCTTGTAAAGTATAATAGGATTGCTATTATAAACTTCTATTGTATACTGTAAACTTTAACAAATCAAAGCCTAAAACCTTTAAAAATTCTAATCTTAAGAATAATTATTATTTAGGTTCAAAAATGCCAAAATTTGATGAAAGTATCCAAGTCTAACTTTGACTGTCTTCCACAATTAGAAACAAAACAATAGAATAAAACCACTATTCCACATACAATTAGCTATAAAATCAATATCATACTTCAATCAAGATACAACTTTGAGGACACCATTACATTTTCCTTCAGAAAAAATCAATTTCAGTTTATGGCTCAAAAAAAACAGAATGACGCAAAGCAAAATGATATTCTTTGCTATAAAAAGCGTACAAAATTTCTTTTTATTATTTTCGAAATGGTTTTTTTACAGCTGCATCAAATGTTGTTCGCTACTGTAAAATATAATAACGAGAATACCCGTCTAAAATACGTTCATAAGATTTCAAGTCATTTTATTGTTAAGTTATCTATATTTAGCTATACATTATTATGACAAAGCATAATATTTCACGATACTTTTTACGCAGTAGATAAGACACCCACTTGAGGCGTTATACATTTTTTTATAATATAAGCCGGTAAACGAGCAGACAAACCTCCTGATGGTAAGCAATTGGCGCCACTCATGGACACCTGGAACACCAGAGGCGTTACAAGTGCGTTTGGGTTTGGGGATTAGGACTTTGAGGATTAACTAAAATCGCGGGTTACTCACGTGAAAATATTGAGAAAAGCTCTACTAGTTTCGAACCACAGAGGGGTTCTTCCTTAGGAGCAGAGCGTCAGTATATTCACGTGAGTAACCCGCGAATTTTAGTTAATTTAGTATGTCCCACGATAGTTATTATACAAAATTTTGAGGATTGTTGGGGATTCAGGGATTGGAGAGATTGGGGAATTTGAGTCACACATATGTCATTATATTTTTTTATCATTCAATCAGTATGCACGAACTGCACGGTTGGTGCGGTGGGTGGATAACCGGCTGCCGTCCAACGTGTCGTGGGTACGATACCCGCAGGGAACAACACTTTGTGCTATTTACAAATTGTTGTATCGGGTCTGGGTGTGATGTGTATTTGAACTTGTTTGTTTGTAAACGCACCCACGACACAGGAGAAAATCGTCGTGTGTGGCAACGTTTTCTATAAAAAAAGTATAACTTTCAACACTGCACTGTCTATGTCTTACTATATGTGTATCCTACAACTACCTACACGTAAAATTAACTACAGTGCCCATCTATATAATACATAAGGATATAGGAAATCCTCTGCGCTTAATTTTTGTCCCTTAATTAGTAGGAACTTGTTATTACATCAGATAGATAATCGCCCACTCATTCTAGTTAATGAGTTTCATAAAATGGACACAATTACAGTGGTTCGTTACACAATAGAATCTAGGGACTATATTAGAGGCCTGATAAAGAATCTATAATTAAATTAGTTAATAAACCGCCATTTTGGTAATTGTATCTCTAAAGACCGATCTGTTTAGTAATTTTGAACTTCTATGGTTGTTTGCTGTTGTTCAACTATTCTTAGTTTAGGAATTATAAAGTCTATAGACTAGTTATTAATTAATTTTGTGCTATTTTGAGGGCAACAAAATTTTCCTAATTTTATTTTACTGGCGCAAAACACTACTTAGACTTGAATATTGAGTTTGATAATGATCAGTTTAATAAAATAAAATGTTTATTTTCAATCATCTGTTAATTCTTAATTAAAGAGTAAAACTGACATTTGGCAGTTTTTAGTATGGAAGGATTGTCAAATATTCAAAGTTATTCATAAGTTGAAATTTATTTGGCGATGGAAAAATCAGCCCTTAGTTTGCTATATTCATCTCTGTGCTTTGTTTCGAAGTGACATCAAGTAGATAGTCCTTTAGCAACCTTATTGAGGAACATTTGAATAGAAGTCTTATTTATTTATTTATTTATGAACTGTTTAATGCACACACACTTAATGACTTAATGCCATATAAGTAGCATTTTCTCCCAGTCAATCTTCCAACCGGCCAATATTAAATCTATAGAAGGAGACCTAACAGGACAGATTTAACTAACATAATGATGATGAAAACACAATGTATGTACATAAACAACGTTGACTTACCCAATACACCTAACCTAAAGTTGATGGTCACCACAACGATGTTGCCATTGGCCGCCAACGTGGTACCGTCATATGCATTGCCCGAGCTCCACTCGTAGGACTCTCCATGCACAAATACCAAACACGGAAGCCCACCACCCTCGCCTTCCTCGCCGCCTGCACAGAAACAACTGCATTGAAAAATCCTGAATCATAAAAAAACTACTATAGCTTACTAACAGTTTCCAGCTAGCTAAATTATAAATACCTGAATATTTAAGACGTCAGGATTTTCATATTTACTCAAAATGTTTTATTAAACATTTTAAACTAGATAATTAACATGACAATAAACTTTTGTAAATCGCTCGTTAAGTAAAAATATATTAATTAATTAATAATTTTCTTATGACACATTACTCAGAAGAATACATATTCATTGACATTCATCTATCTACTTATATTAATATTTTCGTCAAGGGTACTGTAGACTCGCTCGAAACATAACAAAACATAAAAAATATGGATTTCGAGTCGACAACATATATCCGCTTAATTCGGATTACGGAGATTATTTCGTTTTATTAATTCATTTTAATGACATTGACAGACAAACCGCAGTCGCCATCTTGAGTAGACAATAAACGTTCCGTTTCATACCAGCTCTCAAATACGCCTCGCCATTCAACACGTTGTCGCGTCAAAATAGTATAAACTAGCTTTTGCCAGCGGCTTCGCCCGCGATCTCAGGGGTAAAATGCCTATGTATCACTTCAGACCATAATCTACCTCTGTTCCGAATTTCATTCCGGTCCCTTCAGTGGTTTTAATATGACTGAATAATAAATATACACATAAACTCACATATTTTCATTTATAATATCGAGTCAAGCTAATTTCAACCATTGGCCTTTCAGTTACAGCGTAATGTCTATGAATGAGTATTGTAAACGTTAGAGTAGACAAATACAATCAGAAATCACCGAATTGCTAAGCTATCGGGAGTTTCACGTGTTATTGTAAGTCAACCATAAAAGATAGACATATGCTGTCCAGGAATATTTTTTATATAATTTTAAGGAGAATATTTCCGTCATATATGATTTCTATGCAGCTTTAACCTATAAGCGTGCACACGCGACGGAAGCTTAAAAAATGGAGTAACTTCTCCCGTTTTCCCAATATTTCCCTTCACTGCTCTGCTCCTTTTGATCATAGCGTAATGAAAAGTATACTATAACCTGCCCAAGAGTATGAAGAATAATTGTGCCAAATTTCGTTAAAATCCATCGAGTAGTTTTTGTTTCCATAACGAACATACAGACAGACAGACAGACAGACAAAAATTTTACTGATTGCATTTTTGGCATCAGTAGCGATCCCTAACCACCCCTTGATAGTTATTTTTTAAATATATTGTATGTACAGAATTGGCCTCTCTACAGATTTATTATAAGTATAGATTAACAAGAAATATGAATAATATCACACGAACGAAGTCGCGGGTAACAGCTAGTTATAATTTAAATCTACATGTATATATCGTATATCAGTACCATTTTATTGCTTTTAAACCAAAATATTAAAAAAAAACTTTCGCTTATAAGTAAAAATACGATAAAACTCCAAATCAGATAATTATCTCGAAGGTTTCTCCTGCCAGCTTATAAATTACGAAGCGCTATCTGATACTGTTAATTAATGGTTATTAGAAGTGCTTCATAAGTATCCTAATAAGTGCGAATAAAACAAGGATTAAGAATTTTACCTTAGAAACTTTCCATAAAAGAAAATATGAAGAAAATAAGGTCTAATTTTATACCAATATTAATAAATAGTCGCTCCTTTTATAATGAATACATAGTAACAAATCAAATAACATACATTTTTAAAACTACTTGTTCAGCTTACAATAATTACACAGTACACAAAAACTTAACATTAACTCTTTGAGCACACAATAACAATAGAGTTACATAACTACATAACAATAACATTTGCAAACTGGTATAATACTCACAATATTGACAACAGAACAGTGTCGGCTCTTCGCTCTTCGCTCTTGAGCTGTAGATCTGGGGTGTCTCAGCCTCACTTCCGCACTGCTTGCAGGAGGCAGGATGCACTGCAATGCACTACGGAATTGAGGCCTCGACACCCTCCAACGCCAACCCTCTTCCTCTCATTCCCCTCCGCAATGCATCTTCTATGTCATCTTATACGACGTCCGTTCATTCCCATCTTGCACAAACGACGATATATTTACAGTACTTAAAACTTGTGAACCTTTCAACTTCACAGCTGAAACGGTTCTGCATAAATTATAGCCGCGTCAAGTTCAGACGGAGGTAACTATTCAAAGCTACCCCTTAAAATGGGTTCTACGTCTAAAATTTGGCAGTACATCAATATTTAAACGTTCTTGCCATTAGGAAACGTATTAGTTGTACATTCAGGTAATGTTTGTAGCTAAAAATAAACGGTATCTAGACTTATTGAAATATTGATGTACTTATCTTGGAATAATAGAACCAATACGAGTGAATAACATAATTTTTTTATCATTTTGAGTATTACAACTGTGACTTATTCTAAATATTCATATATTCTAAGTTATATTTTCGCCATCTGAACATAGTTTTTTAACAAAACAAACAAAAACTTGCATTGTATTACATTTCGAAAGATTTCTTTACAATGCAATACCGAGTAGAGTTTTAAAGAAACGCCTTCTGTCGTCTTAAAAAAAGGCAAAACGAGATTCTAAAAGAAAGTCTACCCTTCCCGATTACAGGGCAAATATTATAACGAAATTAAAAAAGGAAAGTTTTCAAGAATTAATTTAAGTTTTGACGTAAACATTTTATTTTTGCTGCCTACGAAGAGGATATTAAGTTATTTGGATTAATGTTCTTTCTTTGATCTTATTTTTCTGAGCTAAACAATTGTGAAAGTAAACTTAATCTTAATTATTTTTAAAACTATTTTACGTGATGCTAACCACCAAAGGGTGTTAAATTACTTTATTATAAGGTCAAAAAGATACTTTTCATTAATTAATATCAAAAAAATGAAAGGGGTTTTTACTCAATTAATGATTATCACGATTAGATCGTCTCGGTTGATTTGAATTGAATAGGATTCACCTTTGAGAAAAGAAAATGATCTGAGCAGTTTTTATGAGGTTAATAGATTTAACACAGATGTTGGAAATACGTACTTAATGTACGTACGTTATATAAATAATTGTTTAACTTGCTCCGTAGCTTATACAACATAACTACAAGTAATGACTACTACGTTGCTACAAGATGCTACTAGTGCTACAACGTATTTATATCGTATGTTAAAACATCTAGTTGATATCCAGTAAACCATACACTGAAACTCATACAACTGGATCATATATAAAACGTACCTGTTTACATTTTTAAAGAGACATGCTTAACGGACAGTGAATTAACTGGGAAATGACGTGAATAAATTATATGAATAAACCGCTGGCAGGGATTAATGAGTAGCCAGAGCTCAGTGGCCGCTATATTATGTTGATACCATTGTTCTGGTCTATTAGACAAGAGCTAAACGAGAAAAAAAGATGAAACAAAGACTGTTATACACGAACATATATAAGTGTCGCGGCGGTAATCCCGGGGGATTAGGAGGAGGTATTTCGGTACTCTAACAGTTCGCCGACTACGATATGAGTGTATGCGAAGAGGGCGAAGGTACCATTTGCTGGGCACGATGCCAACCGCGGGTGTATTTGAGAATTTCCTAACTGTAATTCCCATATACAACCTCGTAGCTTAATCCACTTGTTCGAGAAAAGACCTCTTGCTTTCTTGTCAAGGGTTTCGTGGACCAGACTCCCAAATGAATAATAAGGTTTGTTATGAACCATAAGTATTTTGTCAATATGTGATCGACTAAACATTTGCTTACTTATTATTAGTTCTTTATTTTGTCCGAAACACACTGTGCGTTCATATTCAATCGTATTGGTTTACAATAGTTTCTTTACATAAAAAAAGCACAATATACAACAGCTTCATTAAAATCTTGCATGATTTTGTAAGTATGCATATTTATTTATTCACAATATATTTACGATTACAATATATTTCACAGACAAAAACAAAGTGCCCTTTTACTACCATTTCACATTTGCAAGCAGAAAACGATAACGGTATTTCTGTAAAGTTTCCACTCACCATTAACAGGCACATAGAGGTTGACGTAAAGACAGTCCTCGCTCTGATTGGCCAGTACCGGCAATAATCGCTCCAACTGTCGAATGCGCGCGCGCGGGTGCAGTAACAACGCGTCGTCGCGCGGCGCGGCTGCGGGCGGCACCTGGGGGCACGCCGGGCCCGACGCGTCCGCCAGACGCGTCGTGCGCCACTGCGACGGCGTCACCGGCGGCATGTATCTGTTATACAACGAAATCATTAGATTTTCATTATATGGTTAATAATGTGTAGTTTTGTTAATAAATTGGAAAGGTCCAGCATTAAATGGACAGAAACGAGTGATAATGATATGAGCCTAGTTAGTCTGTAAATTACTGGACTTAGCTTTAAGTTCTGAATGGAAGAACTTGTATTTTTCGACCATACAGGGTTATAGTTATAACTTGTATTTTTCGACCATACAGGGTTATAGTTATCGTCAGTAGTGAACACAGAAGAGCATCAGTGTAATTTAATCCGCTTAATGGGAGCCGTCGCAATAACGTTGCATTCAGTTTCATACCAAATTGCGGTTATCGCCACACTTGTCGGAAAATGAGTCAACTTAAATTCAACAGTCGTAAATTTCTCGAATCATTTTGTACGACGGAAATTACACTGGGTTGCGTTCATCGACCTCGTACAAACTACACGGTAACAGTGAGACATATTCGTGATTATTTTTACAGGTTGTCTTACGTGCTTGTCAACTCGCTCAATTAGTTCCGCGTTCATCTCTATTCATCAGCAGATTTCGAGGCAAAGTCTCTGAGTTAGTGAAGTTCGTGTCAGCCTTTCCGTATATAAAGTACAGTTTGTATATTAATCCGTAAATAAATACTCGTAGACTTGCTAACTAGGCACATGACATTTATGTTGTAAAATTCAATGTATGTAGCAATCTAACACAATCAAGACATGTAAAGAGATTAGCAATAAAATATTGCAGTCATCATTATTAGCTTTTACAATTTGCATATTCAATTAATCACCAAGTTAGTGCATGTTTGTAGTAGCATGTAGTTAGCTATGAAGGCTCAATAAAATGGGTCAAGGGTCTCCTTTTTCTACAGAAAGTTTGTATAGGTGTAAAATTACATTGTATTGCAAAAATTCTAGATTTCAACTGATATAAATGTAAGTAGAATGAAAATTTACCTTAGACTACCTAATGGTGGTGTGGCATACGGCACCCCGAGGTAGGCCTCGACCTGCGGATGCGAGTGCACGACGATCCCGCGCAGCGGTCCGTACTTGGTTCTGACGACGCGCGTGCTGTACTTGTGCGCGGAGAGCGCGGTCGCGCAGCAGACGAGCCACGCGAGCAGCGCGGCGCAGTCCGCGCGCATCACGCGCACGCGGCGTGCGCGGGCGCGGGCCACGCGCCGCCAGCTACGCGCGCGCCGCTGCGCATCACGCGGCCCGCAGCGCACTAACGCACGCGCACCGCCCCACGCGCCTCCAGCTCATCACACACTTTTCTCACGCGCCCTCGCACACTAACATTACATTGCGTTACGCACTCGCTTTGTGCCACTGTTCCACAACAAAAACTGTATAAAAAACACTTACCCGAATCATTGTTTTGTTGTACTAACAATACTTTTCCAAATGTTAACCATTTGTTTAACCTGTAACAATAAAAACGCTTCGTTAACGGTGGGTCGGTAAAATAAAATTATTCGTTTAAAGGTGCTTAGGATAGGACTATAATATAGCAGAAGCAAATTTTCATGAAATCTCCATTTTAATCAAATATGAGCGGAGTAAGCCGGGCAGCGGACAATGGAGTAGGTAACGGAAAATGTTTACCTAACAGACCTAACCCGGCGTTTGTAATTTAATGTAACACAAACACGACAACAACATAGTATTTCTAAACGAAATTTGCCGTTTCCGTGGTGGGCCCACCGCGCCGCGGCCCGCTCCGCCCAGACAGCGCGACTCGTGCAGACGTTCACTTCCGCTTCATTTATGTAACCAAAGACTGATTTTCATTGCAATTAAATGTGAACACAATTCAATAGGTCTTACAAGCTCGAGTGTTTGCGTCGTAAATATAAATAGACTGTGTTGAATCGTTCAATTCATTAGTGGTTTAGTTTGTAGAATGGTATTTTTATTGTTTCGTTTGTTTACTCTTTATTTATTCATTCATTCTCTTCGTTGTCTATAAATAAACAGGAATTAACTAGTTCCCATGAATTTATCTCATTGTGGTGCTTTCAATTGATTTAATTCTTTATTTTAACTAAATTAAAAAACTTTAAACCTAAAGTTTAACTAAAATTTGTTCTCAGAAAGTTTCTTTTTTACTCACATACATTAGAAGACTTTTCATTTAAATAAAACCAGTGATACATAAAAGGAAAATTCAAAACAAATCTTACGTATTATCTCATCGGCCTGACAGCGGGGGGTATATGACGCACATCAATTATACAGAAGCAGACGTTTATTGGCGATACAGTGCCGATATTTACGTGCACATTTGGTTGCGCAAGAGGGCCACAAAGAGCACGGCTAGTGAGGGGACACGCCATCAATCACCAGCGTGACACGCAGAAGCTTTGTGAGCGACCCGCATTTTGTTGCACGTCTATTGATACTATGTCACCGTTGACCTTTCAATGCCTCAAATTTAATTTTAGTGTTTATTCAGTGTAATTAAAATCTATTCGAAAAGTCATCTTCTGTGATGAGTATGGTCATAAAAATTCATGGCACCCACACCATGGGATACTACTAGGTAATGGTACCGTTATGAATCTTTCAGAATATGCAACCATTAACAAAACCATTAAGTACAAATGTTTTAATTAACAGACGCGATACGTTGTTATAGAAATGGGGAAAATGACACGATGAAATCTCTTAAATGATACCTATTATCCTCGGAAAATTCAGGTATGTTCTGGGATTTTATTTTTAAAATGATGGCGGTGACGATTTTACTGCATTTATAAATTTTAGACAAGGATTTCCTTTTAAAAATAATTTTATAAATACGTTTTCGTCAAATCAATACACATATACTAAATTAAAGGAAATTAATTTGTTGAATCGTCACATACTCATAAGTATGTACTTTATACATTGTCGGTAAATATTTTCGTATAAAGTTTCTCAAGTAAATTATTTATATGAAATAAATTATATCGTACAAGTTGTTTCCAAGTAATAAGAACGTCGCAAATGCTCATAAAAGCTTATTAAGTTTTATAGGTGACCTATCGAGAACGAAGAACGTGCTTACTTCATTTCTGTAATAGCCAATTTCAAACGAGCGAGTTCTCTTATTGGAGAGTAGATACTGTTATTAATTGCGTATCGAAGACTGTTAAAATCTCGACGTTCAATTTTGAAAAGTGTCAGCATCAATCTGCGGGTAATATGTTAATCTATTTAAGCGTGATCGAGCCCGGGGTGTCACGCTGCGCTCAAGATAACACGCCGATTACCTTGCCCATGCTCCCGGGATCGCTTGTGATCGATCGGTTGCCTACTCAACCGATGCATAAACGCTATAACTCACCATGGAAAATATTACTTTCGGGAATTCCGTGACTAACGTAGGCGATATTAATGAAAACGCTTTTTTGCTTTTACTTATTCTAAACGTTTTTGGGCTTATTTCTGGGTGTTTCGGTGGTCTATATCACAGGATGGATCAACATCATTTTTCGCGGATTTATGTCTAATATTCGATGATTTATTCTAATAATAATACTTAAATTAACAAATCTAAAAATGTACCGGACGTATACCCCCTTTTTCTGTAGCTTAACAATGCCGTTGCCTACCTGCGGTGATGTACAAATAAACATTAAAACAAATAGATAATTCAACTAAGCATAATTAACTCTAAGTTTCAAGGCAGTATACTTGTTATCTCATTAACATATAGGTTAGCAATACATTCTAAGTGTACCGAGACTACGTGATACCGAACACACGTTTGTAATTGGAGACCCAATTTATTTCCGAAAAGTTTCAATGCGCAAAGTTGGATTATCTAACTCGTCGCACAGGTGTTACATGGTGTTAATTAATTTGTATATACAGGGCGTATTTATTTTATGTAACATTTCCTTGATAAGTACCATAATCATCTACGAGGATTCGGTTGCGGATTAACTGTTTGTCGCTTTGTAATGAAGTGATTGAATTATTTAAGGAATAAGGTTCTTGTTAAGTTCGTATAGAAGGAGAAATACGTTAGTAGAACAAGGTGTACTTGTACGCTTATTCTTAACTCATACATTATATTACGCTTCTAATTTTCATACCGCAGAATACAGTTGAAAAACCTCATTCCAAATATTTCCAATGCTTTGCTAGCCCCAACTAAGCTGGACCTCGTAAGCTGTTTGCAGTTTAAAAATGTGGTGTAAGTGAAAAACTTGTTTGCTCTGACCCTTACCCTACTTAGTTGAGTTAAGCCGGTGTATGGCAATAGACTCGTCCTCTATTAAAAGAGACTAATAACACAACAAAAAACGAAAAGTAAGTTTACTGTAGACCTTTGCTTGTAAAAAGAGATATGAAATAAGTAAGGGGTGTGTGTATCGCTAGGGATTTTCGCGGTCATGTACACAAGAAGCACCAACCTAGTGATTTTAAGTCAACAATAAGAATCTGACGTGGAGTGAGGTGAAGCGTAAAGCTCAATACAGATCACGAAGGAAGATTTCCGTGGAAGCTCCATATATGTGTATGTGTATGTAGGCTATTAAATCAAAGTAACTCAATAAGAATTAGTTATTGGCCTCAAACGGTAAGGATGGTACTGAACCTGACTCACATTAAACTCTTGGTCTTACGTAAACTTGTTTCACATTTTCTGTACAGACACGTCACACGCAAACCTGAAACTATAATTTATGCCGATATTATAGCTAGTAATGCTTCCAAAACATCAGATTTTGACTCAAACACACAACAATCGTATATCTAAACAAATTTTGAAGTAAAAAGTGTCCAATTAGATGGCAAGACCGTAGCGTACCAAGTCGCATAACGACGGGGGAGCGAACCGCTGGCGAGGCTGGACAAGTGGCGAATTGGCGTCATCAATCACGGCCAGCCGTCCGCCGCAGAGCTTTAATGGGCACACGCTCATCTTCCAGCTCCGACACGCTCCTCTGATCAACTCCACGTCGATTACTTCTACAGTTCCAGACTGTACATTTCCACTAACTACCGACTAAGCTTAATTTAGACTAACTCTTGAATTAACATAAAAGAAGTCAATGCACTTTTACATTGCCCGTTACTCACTTTGTTACTTATGTATTTATGTAAATACGTTATTAGTCTAACACGTATATATTGTAACACGAACCTATTGCGAAACTCGATATATTTAGTTAGTTGAAAACATATTAATAAATCGCTACCACTGTTACTGCAGCTATACAAAAACTTACATCATTATCAATTCAAGTCAGCACAATCTTTATAAATTGAAAATAAAAGAAACATAAAACATCTACATTCATAACTCACAAAATGCAAAAGTTACGGAGAGTATCTCGAATATCAACATTTCAAAAAATGTACGACAAAATTCTACCAACATTTGCATTGCAAATTCTGATGAAAATTCAAAGCGTCTCCTAGTTTAACTTTAACTGTCGACGGGATCTTAATGGACGCCTAAGCTCTAAACCTCGACAGCTTTAAGCTTTCCGCAACAACCACATCGGTTACTGCTTGACGGTACTACACATGAACGGGTGATTATGAGAGCAAGCACACAGACATACTTACTTTGTGTTTATGCTTGTGTTCCCATACGTTAAGATGAAATCGCCTTAATGTGATTGCGTCACTGTACAAAACAAAGCTTATTGTAGACACATATATTTTCTTAGGTACATATGAGGTTGCAAAACAGGCACCTACTTCATTCTAAGCAATATCCAACAAAGAGATTCTTAACTCTGCACTGTTCAATGGAATTCACTTCTAAACTGAGTTTAGCTTGGAAAGAATTCCTTTAGCATTCTAATCAATATATTAACAGAATTCTTAGCAACAAACTTGGCTCCGTTTAAAATTCTAGCGTTAGTGGTTACAGAATGTTCCACATAAACAAGAAAGTTTCGCCAAATTCTCATGAAATAATAAGCGTTTAGTCATCGAGAGCTCATAAATCTTACCCTCTTTGACACAACTTTCAGTATTTGTTTCCATTTTTTCACATTCTTGATCGGCTCTTGTCTCTCGACAAATTTTTATACAAAATAAAACACAAAAAGGTGCTTACCAAACTTGATCGCCTTCCAAAACCGTGCGTAGTTATGAAAAGCAACAAATTAACTTGATTTATATTTCTACAACAGAATCTGAATGCGAATTTTACTTGAAAGACTATGAAATGTATTATGAAATTGGTATACAAATTGTATTAAGCTGTGCCTCCACAGTTAATTTAATACAATTTATTCCGAAATTTCTGCCCTTACCAGTTTCTATATCATTAGAATTCCGCGGAATAGCTGTTCTAAATGAAGTGTCATTAATCAAATCTCAAAACCAACGGCCGTTTACATAATTCCAGCCACCGCGGCGCGCCGGCCGCTCACGACCGTTCCTATTGTAGACGGTAATCCTTAATGTTGTATGA